ACCCATGATTTCATTTACATCTTGAAATTCGTTATTTAATAGTTTCAGCAGGAACGATTCGTTTCGAAAACGCGTGGTAACGAAGCTGACGCTTGAGTGCAGTGCTTACGGCAACTAGAATAGGTTTATTGATTTTCCGACAACCTTTTAATTAAGTTCTTATTTGGGTCGTAATTTGGTGAAATTCGTTTTATGATTAACTTTACTCGTTTTTATACTATTAAAAGCTAGTTCAACAATTTCGGCAATAATTCGCTGCACTTAAGCTTCTCTTTTATCTTTCAGGTACGAATGGCCAGATTGAATCTCATTATATGTTTGATTACGTTCATCTCACTCAAGAAGGTTATCGGAAAATATATGAGCCTGTTCTGGTTGCCGTAAGTGCTGCACTTAATCCGGACCCATGATGTCATTTATATCTTGAAATCCGGTCCTTTATAGTTTTTTTGTCACGCAATTTTGAGGCTCTCTTCATTAAGTCCTTATCTGGGTCTTAATTTGGTGAAATTCGTTCTTGTGATTAACTTTACTTGTTTTTGTATTACCAAAAAAATAGTTCAATAATTTCGGCCGTAATTATTCTGCGTATTTCAACAGTTCCGGCTTTCGTTTAAAAGATGATGCAGTGTATGCCTGTTGATCCCATCTCCTGTTTCATTGTAACATGAACTCCAGGGTACTGGATTTTTTGCTTAGTGACGAGCTGAAAAAGTACATCTCATAAATTAATTTAATCTTTATTCTATTTTGTTGAATCATTAAGAAATATCACTTAAACATGAACATGAAAGTCGTAACTAAACTTTACTTGTTTTTGTATTATTACAAGTCATTCGAGAATTTATAGGATAGTTGATGTGTACTTTGACTTTCATTTCAATCCGATTCTTTTTTCTCTCTTTCCTTGCCAGTGTCTGTTTTGTGAAACTCTGCTGTGATCTCGCTTTCTAGTTTAGCTCGATTCTTTTTACTGTTGTAAATCCATCCAAATATGTACCGAGCTATACATAATTCTTCCTTTTAGCCATGAAATCTTTAAAAAAAATGCTTTCTGTGATCCTCATATTTTTTTTCCATCTGTTGGTGATAGCAAAAATTTTATTTTATTAGTAGTTGACTCTGTCAGTAGCTTTGTCACTTTGCTACACATGTTCGGCATATCCATTGTTTATTCTATAGCATTAAGCGAGCATATGTAATATTGCTTTGTTTATATTTTATTGTTTTCGCAGAGTTTTCTGCTGCATAAATAATGTTTTTGGAAATCTTGTTCATTGTTGTTATTTGATGCAAATAGTTATCTCTATAGGGAGAAGTAATCTCCTTAACTTTTCGGTGTCAGTTTATGCATGAAGCTATTCGAGTAATTGGCTGTTGTTCTCTCAAATTTAAATTTGAAATAATTTAAAGTTTTGTTTTTCAGAGGGAGCATGTTGACTTCATCTCATCCTTTGTTAACGTATTGTTAATGCATTGAAATTACGATGTTGGCTTCAGTAATTCTGGTATCTACCAGAGGTGTACGGTCACTCAATCCTTATTACTTCCGACCACCTTGGCCAATATTCTCGAAAGTATGGTATTTTTAGAAGTGGTTTTGTTGTTCAAGTAGCATTTCATTCTGAATGACACTGGTTTTGTTTGTTCGGGAATAGTTGTAGGGATTTATTAATTTAAACTTTACAAGATTCATTAATTTATTTAAAAATAAGCATAACTATTTAGGGTGTGATTGCTCTTAGGGATTTGAAATGAGATTCCGTTAACATCCTTACAGTAAAAGATTACAATCGTCAGAATTTAAAATGTTTTTGAATAGGCTCAAGGATGGCGAAAACGCGGTCCAACAATAAATGAGCGTCACCAGCTTCCGGGACAGGATCGCGAGTTCCCAGAATTGTCGCCGAAGTTCAAGAACGAAAATCCGGAGGAACTACATCGTGAGTTTTTTCCAAATGCGATTATCTATCAATGCAACTTTATCTATTTTTTCCAAAGCGATTATCTATCAAAAAAAAAAAAAAAAACTAAAGGCATTTTTTTTGGTTGGCAACGCCTGTCTTTTCTAGACTATACTGGCGTCCAAGATGTCGGTTTTATTGATCCGGTCACTGAAGAATTTGTTCATGTTGAGGAAATGCATCCAGAATTAGTTGTTCCAGATTTACGAGGATTCCGGCTATGTCCGTATGTGTCATATCGGACCGATTTTGAGATTGAAAAGAGGTAGAATGTTTCGTAGACGTTCTACTTTTTTATCGTATTGATTATCTTCATAAGTGGAGGACTTTAAATCGCATTCTTGTCAAATGATTACGGAACCTACTTCATTCCATAGCATTTGCTGGTACCTTGATAAATGAAGGGGCTACTTCAATATCTAAATGAAGCTTTGCTTTTAGGAGAAAAAAGTTTGAAAAACTAATGGCCAAGTATGGTGGTGAAGAGGGCATTGATCCCGTAGTATTCGAAGGCGAGAAATGGCCCCCGCCGAAAACGACATCGCGCTTTTTGTTTGATATGCATTATGCGCCATTAATAAGGTTTAAATCTTCACTTTGATCCGTTTCAAATTCATTATGTAAATCGGTGTAAATCAAATCCATTGTGTAAATCATTTAGGTCTGTATTATCGCTTTTTTTTGAGACTTGTTGGGTTTAGTTTTCGCTTACAACCACATGGCTGTTTGAATTGGATGTCCTTCATAAGTTCAAAATCCTTTTTTTGAGGAATATTATCTTATTTGAAATCCACAGTTTCAGGCAGATGTATAATAACGGGGAATATTTTATGGATGCCAAGGTAGAGGACGAGATTCAGAATGACAGGTCCAAGTAATTTTAATGTTGGCGGAGTTCTGTATAAGATGACTGCACATACCCTACTGAATCGTCTTTTCACATGCTTCAACTTGACTGTGATTTTTGTGTTTCAGTTTATCTCCGCTTGTAGTCTGTTTTCTAAACTATCATTTGTAATAATTATTCAAAAGTTCTAACCCCAATTCTTTTGCGAACTATTAAATGAGCGGAAAGTGAAGTGGTATTACTCTGAATGCCAGTGATCAAGACGATTCTGTACGGTTGGAAATTGCCGTTACAGTATATTCTTGCTGGAAGCTCACCGAAATTTATTTTTTCCCAGTTTTCAGCATGGACCAGGAGGAGGGGGGAGTTGTGGATAATTCATCAGGTTAACGAGAAGCTAAAGATGACTACTTGAGTTGACCGTAACTTTAAGACTTAACTGTTGTAGTTAATCCACAACTTTGGAAGGCTTTACGTTAACTTTATAGGAATGTTTTTTATGGAACTAGGAGGTTTTGAGAGCGAATTTCTTTTTTTGAGCTCTGAATGGAACATTTTATATAAAATTAATTTAACAGCAATGCAGGGCAATGCAACATTTATGAAATTGATTTGTTATATTCAAATGATTCCAGGTGTGTTTTAGAATTGTGTATGAGTCATTAGAAATGAAAAAAAAAGTAACACATTTTTTGGACTTTGTTGTACAGATCATATTGGATGTTGTAATAGCAACTTTAAGGCAGAGGAAAAACTGGATTTGAGAAGGAGGGTATGCGTCGTCCAAACACACTTCATACGACAGAATCTGATTAAGCAAGTTCAGTGTTGAATAGCCAAATGGGGCAGCGGTGCTTCAACCGTTAAAACGCCATCCGTACTTAGCGTACTGCTGATTAGTTCTGGATTTGTTCCGCGGGGAAGCATGAACTCCTGAAGTAGAATATGTCGTTAATCCAGAAATACAGGATGTATCGAAATTGATATAAGCCGATCTGTCAAAATTAGATTGCATACAAGCAGTTAGAAGAAATATCCAGAACCTGATTATATTCTCTGAACACGGAACGTTGCGGTGTTTTTTCTTCATGTTTAGCATGGACCAAAAGTCTGTTATCAACTGTTTTCACTGTTACTTCCTCCGGTTTGTACTGTGCAACATCAAATCTGAAACATGAGGTTTGATTTCACGGTCATTTCGGCGAAGTTTGAAGTTGCTTGAATATTTGTGCCTCATCGATTAGTCATGCTAGTCAGACGTGTCTTTGAAAATAAATCGCAAAGAAGTTTTCAAGCTATATATAGTGAACAGTACTATATTCTACGCTTTTTGCCAAGCGTAATGCTTAAATATTAAATTGCAATTTTGCCTAAATACAATAACTAGCTTGAAGATCAACGTGAATATGGCATGGAGCAAGAGCCTTCCTGAAAATAAGCCACATAATCATTAAAAAAAAATTTCCTGAACCAGATATAAGTTAACCAATACATAAAAATTTGAGATCAGACTGTGCGTACGTCATAATTAATGGCATTGTAGACTACTTTTCTGGAACTTTCAACACATGACAGATCAATAAATAAACCTAAGTCTGAGCGTTTTTCCATCACTTTCATCTTTGATAAGCGGTGATTTAAGATTTTCCAGATAAGGATCGTAGGTTGGTCGAATGGACATCATATCCGGTCGCGTAAAACCTCCCTCACTACGGAACGTACTGCTTGGTGGAGGTGGACCGCTGCCCTGTAACTCTGATTGATTCAGAAAGCATGAAATCTACCAGAGGGTTTCTTTTTTTTTCAAACCTACTGGAAAAAATTTACGGAAATAGGTGCTGAGATGGATTACCTGCGTTGTGGATGATTCGTAACGTCTGGATTCTTCGCGATGATACGTGGTGGAGCGATTATCAGCCTGTGATCCTGGTTGTGATGGCGTATATCCTACAAAAGTATAGCAATTCTTTATGTTTTATGGAATGAATAAAAAGGAATCATATTCATCCAACTTCTGACAATGCTTCTACAGTGCTTCTACCATTTTGCGTTTCCTTCTTTATCTTTTTCCCTTTTTATATATTTCACTTTTTCTTTGTTTTTCTTAGTCTGTTTTTCCATTACTAAGAAAGCATTAAAGCAGTAAGTGCAATTAATTTGATTCAGTTAGTTCCAGTTTTAAATGGTGGAAGAGAAAAGGAAATGTGATCGGATACACATAAAATAAATGAGAGTTTTTAAGTAGAAATTGAGAAAGGATTTTGTTGTCAACACAATTAGTCTCGAAACTGAACGTGAACAAAGACTCTTTACAGTAAGCCTTACTTAGGCGTCATATGTTAACATTCTTAGGCTTATACTTATCAGTTCATAGCAGCAAATAATTAAATGTATGAATTAGATAAATTATCAACTGAATAATTAATGAAGCAGTTAACCGATGACACAACCTATCACCCTACTTTGTCCCACCATTCGGTCATCCTACTCATTCTTCCAGCACGAAAAACAATGGAACATTTGGAAATATCGGTGTTTATTGATTAAACTTATAAGAGATATTAGCTTACTCTAAATTTTTCACAAGGAATATCTAAATTTCAAGCAATTGGTAAGTAACGGAACAAATCCTGAATATTGAAAATTAATAAAAAGCAACAATATATACACTAATATATGGGAACAAAAATGAAAGAAAAATGAAATGATTAAAAGCAAAACTTTGTGACATTACGACCAGATACCTTTTCCCCCAACAGAAACAGTAGACTAAAAAGAAGAAAAGAGAAAATGAAATGACATACTGATGGAATTATTGATCAACCCAAACAATAAACAAGATATATTTCCATATGATTTTTATGAGGATGACACAAGCAGTTGATTTATTAGCGTAAAACCAAATGATGCCTCCTATCATTCCACAGATATATCTACGTATGAAATGAATGAAGCATATCATTATTATTGTTATTTCAAATATAGATAATTTACTTCACATGAATTACGATATATATGTATACATTAAGTTGAGAATACCAATAGGCTTTTTCAAACAGTATATGATATTCTGTCTTTCGCCTTTTTTTAGCCCAATAAAGTTATTTTGTTAATTTCAATCATTGATATATTAACATATAAGCTGGTAATAATATGGTAAGAGTGATAATAAATAAAAGCATTTTATGGAAATACATATTTCGAAAGTTCCAAGTAAAAAAAAAAGAGGAAATGTATATGCAATACATACATTATGTCGTGATTTGCTATGTTTAGGGTAAAGAAATCTATTCCAATTACCACAAAATCAATTTCAATTTCATGTAAATACAAAATGAGTGTAGAGGAAAAAAAAGAAAAACAAATTAAAATAATCATTGAAGGAGAGATATGGACATATTGATCGTTTAAAAGAAAAAAAACAATCATTACAAATTGTCTGGGTTGATAAAATCTTATGGCACTACATTGAACGAATTTATATCTTTCTGACTTCCTCGATTCGTTATTTTTTTTTTTTTTTGGACGAAATTTGTAATCATCAATTGGTTTTATGATTCAGATTAAATAAAAATAAACTTTAGAAATTTCAACACTGCCAAAATCACAATTTGTATTCAAAACTTTCTCTAAAGATGAATGTAAAGTGATTTGTTTTGAAAGTAAATTTAGGGAAAACAAAGTTGCTTAGATTTCTGACACCTTAACTGGATGCTTCGGTCAATTAAGGATGAGTAGAAAAAAAAATTGATACCTTCAAATTCTTGCCTTAAACGTTTCATTTCTTCCTCCACATGCTTCATTTCGGCTTCAAAACGTTCCCGCATACTTCCAAACTCAGTATCCAATACTGAATAATTACTTGGAGTAACATCTATTTTTCTTTCTCTCTGCATTTTTCTTTCCTTTTTCTTTAGTTCTTCCTGTAAATTTTGAAAAGGAAAATTTATCGCAAAAATAAAGTTAATATGCAAACATTTTAGTATCGAACGTAACGCTACATAAACAAATGAATGACGTAATCAAGAGAGTAAATAAGCTCAAAGGCTGTAAAATGAGCATCAGAGTTTTGAAAATTTTAAAAGCTAAAGTGAAAAGCTATTTCTATTCCAGTGATAAAAATATATTTTGGAAAAGAAAGTATAATGGATATTTATTTTGAAAAGTATAGCTCGGAAATGTGTTCCCTTCAATTTAAAAAAAAAAAAAACAACAAAAAATTGCCTGGATTTGTTTTTAGTTAAATATTCAATTTTCGTAGTTACTGATGGCTTTTTTTTCTTCATTGAAAACAAAAAATTTGGTTTTCAATTTTAAATAACATTAAGAATACAAGCAATGAATAAAGATGAAAAATATTTCAAAATCAGAAAGTTTAGGAAATTCCTGGATTAAATTCTGAGTAATTTTAAAGGAAGCTTAAGAGCTATATGTTTGTTGAAACGATTTTCATTGTAAATTAGCATCATTGAATGAATGAAAGAAGGATTTGCCAGATGGTTGCGATTTTGAAGCCAAAATTAACATTAACATTTAACATTATATCAATAAAGTAGCGGGATGAAGAATAAGAAGCATTCAGGATGAAGTAAACATTGGATGACAAGAAAAAAAGGAAAGAAAAATAACTTAAATTGTAAACACAATGTGACATTGTTTATAACCAAAACATAAATTGTTTGTTGAGAAAGGGAAAAATATCTATTAAAATATGACTAACCATTTTTTCCCCATCAACTAACTATAACAAATCTTCGAAATGTGAATCTACTAATTGACTAAAGAATAAATTGAAGTTAAAAAAACATTCTAATTTTTGGACCTTAGTTGTCAGTAAAGAATTTTATTTGTAAGTTTGACAAATTTCTTATTTCACTATGTAAAGTGAAAATTTAAATTTAATCCAAAGGTCATTGAAATCATTTAAAGTTCAATTAATTCTTACTTGGGAATTATATGAATTTAATAAGTATGCATTGGTTACGAAAACAATTATATTAAGGAGTTTTATTTGTAAACATTCCTCACTCCTTTTCGGATCTCTGTTTAAAATCCGAACTAATGAGGTTTCAAAATCAATGATTTCACCGTTAGATGACATCACTATTTAAACTTGGGTCCCTGATTTCTTGATCTCGATTTAGGTTTAAGGTTTCCGAAATTCCGTCCTGAATTCTTTAGTGAGCGGTGCAAATCGCTCTCCCTCACTTTATACTTATCATTTCGAAATTCCCAAAGTTTCTGGAATAAAACGATGACACTACCTGCATCTCACCTACACTTCTTATCATTCACAGCATTACTGTTTATAAAAATTACAAAGAATTTCTCCTTTAGTAAGAAAATAAAAACGAAGAAAGACTGAAAATTATTTTGAGAAATTGAAAAAAAAAAGTTAACTGAGAGAAAAAAGACGGCAGTCCAATGAAGTTTTATGCGCTAACAACAAAGTAATACTTATTTCGTTGAAAAGCTTTACGGATCAAAGAACAAATGAGAATGGACAAATTAATTCTACATTTTTGTTCCGTAAACTAGTTAAAACAAACAGGAAAGCAATGGTTTATAACATCAATCCCGCTGAAATATTTAGGATCATTCTTTTTCTTTTATTTCGTTTCATTTCTTCAAAATAAAATTTAAGGGAAATTTTGGGATAGTTTCGACTTCAACTCATTTGCTTTAGTTTAATTTCATTATTGGAAATTTTACAATGAGAAGAATTTTCAGTTCTTCAATTTTATTGTAATGATGAAAGAATGGAGGAAGAATGCCACTTCTAAGATATCTTTATTTATGATCAAACTATGTGCAAATGCTATGTTTAAACGGTTCTTTTCAAATGATAAATAAGCATCAACATTTTTCCGCAATAGCGGAAGTTCGATTTGCAAGCATCAGTTAAACGCATAAATTTAAATTTAGAAAAAAATGCATTATTACATAAATTCAAAAGCGGTAATTGAATTCGTATTATGTTACCATGAAGTATATAATTTTTCAAGGATGATACAGTGCTTGTTTATGTTTCAACAAACATGACGAAAAATTGTTATTGCTAGATTTCAATGACTGAAAAATTTCCAGCATTTCCAGAAGTACATATAACAAAGATCAAACGAGAAATTTCGCTAATGCACATTTGGCTCAATTAACTTCATAAAATAAGCTTTTAGTAAACCTTAGTAAAATGGTGAAATCGGATAGCATACAGATAATGTCATCTAAACGAACAGAAAACATTTATAATAAACCTAATGATAGTTCAAATTCCCAACACATACTGCAACTGATAGCTTTCTGGAATGCAAGTAGCAAACAAAAAAACAATCATTAAATGATAACTCAGTAGAATGAATGCTAAATAAATGAAGTATAAAGAAAAAAAGTTAAAAAATGAAATATCTAATTCGGAGGGAAAAAAAGGCGCATTAATTAAATGTTATAGAATTATATTTTGATATTTGAAAGTAATTATCATATAATATGATTATATGAAATAATCAGTAATAACAGGGGTAAAAAAAAAAAGGCTGATGTTTTTTCTTTCGTTTCCGTTTTTTTTTTTTTTTTCTTTTCTTTCAGGATAGCAGTTGTTCATTCTATTTGATGATCGAAAAAAAAAAAAAGTATCGTTAGAATTTTATTTAATGCTTACCGTTTTTTTTTAACAAAACTAACATTGTACTTTAAAAATTCCCCTAAATTACATAACTTTTCATTTTCTTTCTTGCTTTTCCCTCCACAAAACACATATGTATATATTCTAAATAACAAAATGAAATATCATAAATTCACCAATACATACATATCGCTACGGAAAACAACTGTATGAATCAGTTCGACCGTATTCGGAATTGGAACATTTTTTTTTAAATAAACAAGGGAAAAAAAGCGTATATTTATATAATTGTTTTTATATTAAGGGAGAAAAAAAAACGAGTTACCTATTAAAAATCAAGAAAAAAAACTAAGGTAAATTTTCCTAATAGGAAAAGTATTTATACAAATGATTTTTTTTTTTAAGAATGACAATAAATCGAATTAAGAAATTTAATTCAAACTTGTTATGTTTAACATAACACAAATATGTTTACCTAACAAATCATCCATAAAGAATTTATTTCAAAATAGATGAAATGAAAACAAAAAAAAGGACGAAAAACAAGATTTTAAAATTGAACTTTCAATTCCATTAACTCAATCACAAGGATTCCACTTCATTCATGTGGTAACCCTTCAACTAAAAAAATTCCATTCACTACTGTATAGATGATAGGGAAATAATAGGACTGAAATTACTGTACGAACTATTTATAAATATACTGAACAACTGCAGGTTTGTTATCACAAATTATCAGCGTAATAAATTGATAATAAGTATATCAGCTTCCCATCCTCCTCCCTCCTCAAAAAAAAGTATCACTTCTGATAAACAATTATTTAAATTTGAAGTGAAGTTCAATTTTATAAATATAATAAAAGATTAATACAATCTGTAGGAAAAAAACAACGAAATACTGCAAACATTTCAACAGTAATCATTCATTTCTTATTTTGTCAACATTGCAGTTCCAACACATTTTAAACATGATTTCTAATATAGGATATATCGGGACCGAAAAAAGAGCCTCAAGCTGGTTTACTAAACCAATTTGCAAATTTAGTGTTCGTGTTGAAATAAGTCTGATGCAAAAAATTCAAATTCATCTTTAAAAAGGATGGAAATTTTTCAGTGAAAACTGATGTAACATTAATTTACATCTTTTAATCTCTAATTTCAATTTCAAGGAAATAAAATAGCAGTTCAATAAATCAGTAGACTGATAGTATGATAGTGATATCAAAGAATGTATCAATATTATAAAAAGGATATTGTTTCAACCATTTTAAGGATTATTGAGAAAATAGTACTTTAATTTTCCTTTTGAAATCCTCAAACTGATTTGATTAACATCATGGCAAATAACACTGTGTTAACGGAACGGATTAAAAAGACGTGAAAGAGTGAATGATGATGGAAGCAAATCAATTTAGAGATTTCAAAAAGAGAATCACATAATATTAAATTCAATTCCTGACAAAGTATTGCAATTATATAATTTAATGGAAATGGATTTGAATAAAAAGAAAGGAAATGAATGACTCGTATTTTAAAAAAACAATAATGATAAATGAAAAATGCTTAAGAGTGAGGAAGAGAAATTTATTTATATTGACAAACATGGTAGCATATTTTCCGGCTTAAAAAGAAGTCGGATACAACAATTTTACAAAATGTCCTTCATTAAACAACACAGTGGTGTGGACATTAGCAGAAGAAATAAATCTGTGGAAGAGCCTAGAAATTATACATACATTTTTCAGAGGTCATGACAAGAATAAGACAATAACATAAGGAGCTTTAGAAATAAGAAAGGTATGGGAAAGATTTGTTGTGTATTTTCTGCATACAATTTGATGGCATAAATGAAGGACAACATTGGACAAGAACTGCATGTTTGTGGCATTGAAAGAATTAAATTGAATCAAATTACATACCAGTTCCCTTCAATTCTCTCCTACTTTCCCATCTTTTCCCGATAATGTCTTAAAAAATTATCAAACCACCAATAGTCCAACCGGTCAGATTTGACACTTAAAGTCGTAAACGAAATTTTTAATAGATTCTCTCGTGAAGAGTAAATAGAAGGGATTCTTGGCATATTATTACCAAGAAATGGTGCACCTCAATGTACCTCAAGATCAGACGATCAAACGATAAACAAGAATATTCCAAAGGTATGTAAACGTTTAGCAATGAAATTATCGATTGATTCTCCTTCCTAAAATAACAAAGAATATTTTTGATTTCTCAAAAACTTTGAAATGAGGCAAAATTTTTTCCCAGCTACATCCTGAAATTCACTCCAAAATATCCGCAACGTAGATGGAATAAATAAATCATTCCAAATTAACGATAAGTCGTCACATACCGAAAGTTGCCATCCGATGCACAAACCAGACTCCCTTCATGTATTATAGCTTCTTGCTATCGTCATGTTTTACTTTTTCTTTTTTTTTTTGAATTTAAATTATCTCGTGGCAAATGCGTTTCACATATGGTTAAGTTCTTTTTTTTTACTGATTTAATCAACAGTAAAGGACAATTATTTTTCAGTTTAAATTAATTGAAAAGAGTGAAACATTTTCATTTTACTGTAAGGAAGTCTGAAAGTGGAGTATATTTCATATTGATTAGTGTTACATTTGTCAACAAACATTTAACATATAAATGGCTTAAAATTATCAAGTGAAGAAAATATTAAGTAATAAAAGTGAAAATTCTTTTTGAAATATATCAAACATTTATGTTCACATACATTCACAGACATACACATACATACATACATATACACTGACATATACTAGGACAGTATACTATAACAGAAGGCAGAAGCCACCGATTTCGAACGAATGAATGAATGAATTGAATGAATGAATGAATGAATGAGTGAACGAACGAACGGATGACTGGATGGATAGATGGAACGGATAGAAGGATGGAGAGATAGAATGAGCGGAAAGCAAACGCTTCGGTCGTTGGTTGATGTAAGGAATGTAAGGGGAAAGCAGGGACGATACCGCCTCGGTGTGTACGGATCCGTTCATAGAGATACACAGACAGACTCAGAAACATGTAGAGATACACATACTGTAAATATAACAGACAACAAACAATTTGTCTTTGGGAAAATAGCAAACATCAACAAGTAAGGAAGTTATCAGTAGATATCACTTGTCCATCTTAACACACTGAACATTCTAACAGTGAAGTGATAAAAAAGCGAATGATAAAGGAGAAAGGCTTTTACAAACAGTAACTTTGCAATCAATCAGCCGACAATTCATCCATCGATTGACTGTCACACTGCAAATGTTTTATCAAAATTTCGCAAGAAAACACAATCTAATGCTGTAAAGGTATTGTATGTTAACGTAGATGTAAATCTGTATGTATATGTGTATGTGTGTATGCATGTGTATGCATGTATGTATGTATGTGTATATGTGTGTGTATGTGTATGTGTATATATGTGTATGTGTAAATCTTGATGCGGAAAATTCTAATAAACGAAGAGGTGATGATACTGCAGCTGTGTTTTGGGTATGATACATTCCTTTGTATTATGAGATTGTATGAGATCTTTTCAGATCCATGTGAACTTTACATGTCATTATTCATCCGTCAATTCATTTATCATAAAACATTTCAGATTTCATTCGATTAGAAAAAAAACAAAACAAAACAAAAAATAACAAGCGAAGATATTTTAATGACGTGTACGGAAGTGTTTAAGATAGGTGATAAATGGATGAGAATACATCGATCATCGAATGGATAGCTAAAAATAATGGAAGGATGAATGTACCTTGTTATCAGATAATATAAAATAAATAATCACACAGTAAGCAATCAATCATTTGTAGAGAATTTATGGATGTAAAATTCGTTCGTTCACTTATGCTTCATTTCATTGACCTTTTCATTTTCTCCTTTCTATCTTTACACATAATTATTAGAATAAATGGTATGTTGGATGATAATTGATAATTTTCATTTTTTTCCTTTTTTTTGACCGAAAATTTCCAAGAATGATTTTAAAAAGTACTGAATAACTTTTACTTCTGCTAACCAAAATATATCCATAAAGATGGAAGGGAAAATTGAATTCAAGCTGTAAATTTAAAAGGAATTATTTTCATGTTTTAACTTATCTTTCAATCATACAATGACAGAGGAAGAAGGGAAAAAATAAAAGAAGGGAAATGAAGTAAATGGGAGAGGATGACAGGAAGTGAGATGGAAATGTTAAGAAGAATTAATTTAACATTCATGACATACAAACAACTTTAGGAATTTCATTAACCTAACATATATACATGCTATTCTGAAACGTCCACTAATTTAGATTACAAAAGTGAAAAGTGAGAGAGAAAGCGGAAAAGAGAGACAGAGAGAGAGAAAGAGAAAGAAAGAAAGAAAGAGGAAAAGCAACACTTAATGTTGTAATTAGATAATTAGCAATTGAACGATAACGATGTTTTGTTCTATGCTTAATTGTATTTACTAAATAATGAAAATAGCTTAATTTCGTATGACACATTGTGTAGTTTCGTACGACAGCAAAGTGACATTTTGTGATTTTGTTGGGAGGATGTCAAAGCGTCCCAATGGAAGGTAATTTGTTTACCAAACCAAAACTTGCCGGAATGATTTCGAAATCGATGAATATTGCATTAATCAGTGGAAAGCTAACGATGAGACAAACATTTAGGTACTATCTAGCCTATATAGCATTTGAATGAAAGAAGTGTTAACAAAATGTGCTAGCGTCAGTTGACTTTGACTGCTTTGGGTGAAAGCAAAACTTTTCCACTCTCCAGAACATTCCCCCGCCTTTCTTCTTTTCCTCTAAATCTCTTGATCTAACCTCTACGCTTACCTCAACTACCAATTGTATGTTGTTGTTGTTTTTTTTTTTTTCGCTTGTCGCAATAAAGTAACACTCTCTATTCCCTGCAGCTCTCTCTCTCTCTCTCTACCTTCCTCCCTCCTCTTTCTTTCTCTCTCTCTCACTCCCCCGCCTTCTATCTTTCTCTTAGTGAAACTAAGAGCAGAAGAATAAGAAAGGAAAAGGAAAAAGAAAAATTGAAGTGAAATTAGAGACCTCAATGAATTTTTCATCAAGAAAGAGTTCAATTTTTGCATTTTATCATTGCAACAGTTACTTCAATAGGAGAGAAAAATATCAATTTAATTATTATTCTAAAATTTTAATTATTATTCTAAAAGTAATACTTGAACACTTTCCTTTTCCTTCACACACACTTTCCTTTTCTCCTACTCTCATTCACTCTCCCTATCTTTCTTCGTCTCTCTCTTTCTCTCCTCCCCTCTTGAATCATACCAATTTGAAAATAAAAAGAAAACCGTTCGTTTATAATATTACAATTAATGAAAACGAATATATTTTAATATATAATGGAATTTGAAATAGGTATTAAAGTTTGGAAATTTGAAAGATTTCCTTCCTTGTTACATAGTTTTTTGTTGTTTGTTTATTTTTGTGTCTTTTTCTTTTTCTTTTTTCCAACCAAATCCTCATAAAAACTTTGCCCTCTCTCACTAAATTGTCATCGATTCAGTACTGTCATTTGTTTCCTTATCTGTCTGTTAATTTTAATAAACTGTTTAAACTTAATATTCAAACACAGAATAGATAACATCATATCTAAGCTAAGATCAGTGAATTATACATGTCAAACTTTTTTCTTTCGTTTTTGATCTATTAGTGATATCACTAGTAGGTTAGGAAGAAGTTTAGCTAGTATAAATATGATTTTTTTTCTTTTAAACTGTAAATAATATTGATTGAATTGAAAGAAATGAAAGGGAAAGACTGCATAATTGAAATGTTTTGATTTCATTATCATTTGTCAAGATTGTTCCAAATTTCCAATCATTTATCACTGGGTTAAATAGACGACGACAGTTTTTTTTTTCGTCGCCTAAAGAAACATTGTGTTGTGATGCGCAATGATACAGTTAAGTAATTGAGGACAATTTTTCTTTTTTTTTTGTAAAGTATTACGATTTGTAGCAAACATAGATTCTGAATGATTTGAGGGACCAAATGAAAAATGAAAAATTGACTGAGGCAAAAAAGTATGGAAGGTAAAATATTCCAATTAAATTTGCAATTTTATGATTTGTTGACGGTCAGTTCAAACCAACTACTAGTGATTATTTTACAGGAAATCCGAGACTGTCATAAATTCTGACAAGAAAGTAAAAAGACGTTTGAATATGTAAGATGAAATTTGAAAAAAGTATTCTTCAAGAGGAGTTTTTCTTAAAGAAAACAAAAAAACAACAAAACAAAAAATAAATAAAATGAGATGTAAATACAATAGTGGCAATGGTCTCATTAGCGCAAACGCGATTATGTGATAAAAAAGGCATGTATAAAAAATATCGTCCATCAATATTTTACTCAAATTTGAGCATAAAAATACCCATACAATAGAAAAACAATTTAGTAATAGTTCACTTTATTGGATATTCTCTGAAATCTTAATTCGAAATTTTAGAATATCCATTTAACAGTTTAAAATTCCATAAATTTGTTTTGTGGAAGAGTGGTGAATAATGTTGTAAGTAGCAGCAAAAGATAATATGCACGCATTTAGCACGATGAAATACCACATTTATTTCTATGAATTCAATTCGCTTCCTATTATATTTTGAACTTTTATTCATTTCCAAATGGCCGTCAGTAATTTAAATTTGACTCGAAAAGGAAGAAATTATGAACTTATCCGTTTGTCTGAAGAGAAAGAAGTGAATCCATTAGATAATTTTATTATCAAATTTGCACAATTCAATTTCATACGATTAATATTGCGAGCAATTTTCACAAGGGATAATTTTGAATCTTACGGAACATTTTCTTATATTGCGTAATTTTGTTGTGCGCGAATAGTTTGGCAACAATCATCTCCAGAAATTCTCCATTACGCCGGAAACGTCTGGTTGCCTAAAAACAAAACGCAAATCAGAACAAAGTAATTCCATCAAATTAATATATTTAAATTATGGAAAAAACCAAAATCAGAATAGTTTAAATTTAATTGCAAATCATTGAGAGCCAAATTAGCGTTGTGCAATAAAATGAACAAACTATAATGCCCTTTTGACTTTTTCTGACGATACAGTAAATATCTGATTTGATCTATACAGTTATATATATATATATATATACATATATATATATAAAAGAAACATCGAAAATCCAGATATTATTTTAAACTATAATCCATACATCCTCAAGCAACCAAGCTATTTATTGATCTGTGGAATGGTCCTCATGATTAACTTAATGGGGAGTACTGCAAAACAAATAGAACGAAGTCGAAAAAAAAATTAATTTAGAAACAAACTCCAAGAGGTAAAATTGAACTATCCAAACCAGGATGAACCTGCATATAGCTTATGTTCAGCGTGATAACATGACCGCTCATTGTGCCAAGTTCAACCATATTTAAACCTGAATATTTCCTCATATTGGATGCATATTTACAAAATCAAGATGTTATATTACCGAAGTAAATACAACTACTTTTTAAATGCATAAATGAATCGCGTAAAAAACCTAGAAATCTATCAGCAGTTCATTGTCATACATTAATCATTTCACTGCATTCATGATGACAATCTGAACCAATCTTAGATTTGTTAGAGAAATGTCAAACACTGTCCTATGTGAAAAGTAGGGGATAATGCGATTTTATTAGCTGTCATGGTTAGAAATCAGTAGGACACTGCCTATATACTGCGCACATTGTTCTACGCCTGGACTGCATCATGGTTCAGCTGAAGTTTCTGAAATTGCAACTCTGCCACCACTTACCATTACCACTTCCATGTCACGATATGGTATAAAGGTCAAGCATTTCGGAGTGCATCCAAATCATTCAGCAGATCTTTCAGCATATATTATTCAACAACATTATGGTCATCATGGATGACGAAGATTAGCTCTATTCAACTGCGAAATTTAATTCATTATTGTTCAAAAATTGAAAGATATATTGACGAAACATTCAACAGTAATGACAAAACCTTCATTGGACGAACTCAAAAGGGCCACTTCTATTGGGTATGAATTCGCTCTAAGTGTTAGAAAGCCACGCATCACACGGGTATCGTTTCCACTCCGACAAATACTTCTGTAAAAATTTCTATCATTCGAATTTCCCAATGATAGCAAAAAAAAACAATGCTAAACACAGGGACGAATTATGAAATTTAAGTTAAAACTGATTAAGAATTTTAAAAAAATTTATTTAGAATTAAAAAAATGTTTCTTGCTTCAATAAATTCGACATTTTCGCTTTTCAAGTAGCAATGTTCTGTGAATACACAATTTTTTAATGCATTCTTTATTCACATCAACTGTCATCTAATGGAGTTGATATAAAATCAGTTTAATTGAATCCTTTACAAAAGCACTAATAAGCAACAAGATGTGAAAAAAGGAATCAGCATTTACTCCATTTAATAATTAATGTAGAGAAGGTCAAAGACTCTCCCATCTAGCAGTTCAACCTTATAATTCTTAGTTGGAACCACTCAGAAACTTCTACCGGTAACAAACTACCATTGCTCCCTACCAAAAGACATACAATTTCATAGATGATGCCACCTAACATAATAATAGTTTAGTAGTATCACTAACATCATAGCAGATACAAGGCATTTACCTTCAACTACAACCTTAGAAAAAGATTGTCATTATAACTAAACCACAACAAACTTTGAGGTAAATTGTGTATAATAAGAAGATTTACCGTATTATATACTGAACCAAGTTTCAGTAAACCAAAATTTGCAAATAGCAAGTACTGAATTCTGTTACTGTACAGATTACTGTTACGGATAGAATTGGACAGAGGTGATATGCCAGCAAATTTTTCCGGTATAAGAACGGTAATTTTGAGGACAACCAATAAATAAAATCACAGTTTTTTTAGAGGTTTAAGAGGTTTTTTTCCTTTTTCTTTCATTTCGAAAAAATCATTGATAGCAGAGCTTGAGAGGTAGCTTACGTGAAATTAAATGACGGAGTTCCAAACATTGGTACTTCAGCAGGCACGACATCCAGCAATTCTTCATAGTTATTTAAATACATATCCGTTGGATATCGAAAACCTTTTGATGCCAGTGAATACCATCGACCTACCATAAATTGCAACGCTTCCAATGATGGAGGCACCGGAATATTACTTAAAACTGTAAAGAATTTTCAATATATACTATTCTACAAATCTGTTATTATTATAATCCTGCATTAATTTGTTTTTAAGATTGCATGTTTTGGAACAAAACGTAATTATTCTTTCTGAAGAGTGTAAAATTTTTATTATACGAAGAAAGTTCCAGCATATGAAATTAATTAAATCCATACTATGTTTGGGATCCGGTACGCATTGATGACAGCTCACCGCACAATTGATATCAAAAAAGTTTGTTTGAGTGCGTATCTGTTCACATTTATCCTCTAACGCCCATCGTTCACAACTTTTATAAATATTCCGACAATGTCCTTCAGAAGAGCTACATTTAATTTAAGAAGTTGCTTATTGTTTGAAAACGTGAGGAGAAAAAATAGGTGATTGAAATTAGCAAACAGATATAGATTTTCATATTTTGAAAAATTTAGTTACTTGAAATGAATATCATAGCATGAATACGCTTACTATGACAGTATCGACCCATCCAACCAAGTGTGCATACGCATGATACCTTACCAGGTAGGCAGGTGCCACCATTCAAGCATGGATTGAATCTACAGTTTTCTTTCGTAAAATTCCGTAGTGCCAGCTCTCGTTGACAGTTACCTTGAAGAAAGTGAATCAACAAATTATGTCACAGAGAAAACTGAAAATCACAAAGGATCGTTATAAATGATGTAGTAAAACACTATATGAAATGCGTTTGTTGGTTAAGTTATAAGCTATGTTAGGCTAGTTGGATTTCCTAATCAACATCTAACAGTCTCTTCGTTGCAATGAACTGTACTTCGATACTGACCGACCATTACCATTTTCACATCACAATGACATACCCAATCTATAGAAGGATTTATTTTTTATTTTATGGAATGGATTTATCTATGAAGGATTTATTGAAATTTTAAAAATAGTCTACTAACGGAAGTTCACAAGAAAAAAAAAGAGAAACCATATGTAGATGGAATGATCAGTAATGGTGGATGACAAGGATGGCAAAGGAGACAGAGAATATCGGAAAGAGATGGTAAGAAGTAAGGTTCTTGACAATGTTGGCATCAATACAACTCGAAAATATCTGATGAATTCGCATCAACAAAACGATAACCTCCTATACAATTAGATTTTCTCGATTGATAGAGAAGTATGTGATGATCAACTAAATATCCTTCCATGTAATCAAGCTAATTGAAAGTATGAAAGGAAGGAATAAGAGAAGGGGGAAATGTCAAATGACGAAATATGAAACTTACAGAAAATAATCGTCGTAACGCATAGGACGAAATATCTCAATAACATTGAGGTCCAAAAATTCCTTTTAGGGTAAGAAAATTTTGAAGGTGAATGAAGGATGAATAGTAACAATCAGAGAGACTGCGTCTTTGACAAAATCTAGTTGTCCAGTGAAGTCACAAATCGAAGAACTCGATTTTTCCCAAATGTTCACAGTGTCGGTTTTGCCAATCGAAATCAAATCATCAAGGCACGATAAAATTCTTCTTTTTTTGGGCAGCACACAAATACATAAATCAAGAAGAACAAAAACAAAGAATGGATGGTACTTTAGAGGATTATTCAAAGCGTATCAAATTTGGATATGAGCTACATCTACCAATTCAATGAATTTTGTTAACAATACACTATCAATTTCGATAATAGAAGATATTGAAAATCTGAGCAACAACAACAACAACAATATGATTATTTTTGTGATGAAAATTTGTTACAATTTTCAATACTGCCTGGGAAATGCAGCAATTCAAATAACTGCAACAGTGCTACAATACTGATAGTAATGATAATCTTCATTATTTGAAAAATTATTAAAATATTGCAAAGAATGATCAAAAAGAGATGATCGATACAAAAGACGTTGCAAACGAAATGTTGTAGAGTGTGATAGATCAAACCAGTCAGCTGTGGATGATTGGATTCATTTCAAATTATCCTACTCTCATTTCCTCATTCTTCTTCAGCTCTTCATCGGCACTGCAACATCATCATTAACAGGTTTACAAGGACAGAAAAGTTTCCAGATGTCTTCTTAATGCCTTATCCATTTATAAATGAATACTTGTTCCATCTGTCAAAATAAAATTACAATCTTACTTGAATGTGCAAATATTTGTCACCTTAATCGCATATAAATCAATAACAAATATGTACTCTTCCTTTCGATCACATCTTATTACCAAGTAACACTTTTGTCCAATCATTATTACTTAAATCTGATATATCAATTATTAATCTATCCGTTCCTTTCCCTATTTCCCTTCACATAATTAGATCAGCTTTTTCATTTTTTTTTAAACTCTTTTTATTGTCTGCTTTTCCGTTTTATCGATTTTAGTACAACAATCGCATAACCCGATTATAAATGATCACTGCATCATTTACAGCAATAGTTCAAACCAATTGGACAGCTATTTAGACCATTTTTTTCCATAAAGCTTTTCAAAACATTGTTAATCCATTCCTGAAACTTATTGTTCTACATATATTTTAGTATCCTGGGTTATTTCCAATTTTCTATGATATGTATGATTTCGAAATACTGTTTGTCTAGAATCGTTGCATTAAGTATGAAGATGTCAGGCTAAAACCAAAGTAAAACACAGGCATACTTCATCAGTCATGCCAATGTGTAGCATACTATATTGTACTAGAAAAGAAGTACCACAAGACTAATTATAGAACAATATATCACTCTCAACTTGTAGAAGATGAAAGGGAAAATAGTTTTATTACAAGAAAAAAAAAAAAAACGAATCCCAATTCCAGTTCACAAAACATTCCAAAAACCAAAATATATCATGAGCATCCTTGTAAGACAAACCGTATCAAACCGTTGAACAAGAAGATCGGATTTAGATTTACATACCTAACTCAACGAGGCGATGATGTTTTCTCTTTCGATAATTTTTTAATGCCTTCAATTTCCGATGGTCTCGAAACATTAAGCTAGTAGATAACAAGAAAATTACTTGGTCCGTTCGTAGATATTTAAAGGATATGATCCACTAGCACTGTCATTGCTGAAGCTTGGCATACTCTGAGGAGCATATCCAACATCTCATGATAAATCGACGATGTTTGTGGCACTCCCAATTTAGGTTAATCTTCCAAACTGAAGAAAAGATTAATAGAATAAGGACGACCGACCAGGAGGATTAGCGCAACAACTTGAGACAAGAGAGTAAGCAGACCAAACCTTAAACTTTAAACCACATAGTAATTCCTCACTCTCAAAGAAATTGGGAAACAATACATCTACGGCTTAGCCAAAAAGTAATTACAAAGAGACCTAAAACACGAACACCTATAAATCAAAAACCGATCCAAACCTGTCGCACCAACAGACTCAGCAAAAGTACTAATTTCACATTTTTAAAATTCAGGCATTTCGAGTACTCATTTGCTAATTCATTATCCATAAACATTATTTCACTCTCCTTTAATAAGGTGTTTTGGAGAGAATGTGAAACACAAGTCAGATTTCTTGAAGAATTTATCAGTCATTGACTACTGTGGTTATCATAATCATCTATAATAACAGTGAATTATGAAATAACCAAAACACAATGTATGAAGGAAGCACAGAAGGTAAATTAATTGAAACAACAATATACCAAACACTATTACTGATATTAACTTCGTCCCTCGTCTTCACTATATTTTCCGATATCGCCTGGCCGACAGATTACTCGGCCAAAACTATAAAAATTTTTGCATGAAAATTTCTGATTTCCGTTAAATAATGTAAGGTGTAACATGGGAAAGGACGCTTTCTTATGCAAAATCTTAATCTTAATCAGCAGGATGATCTTCGACCTAAAAACTTGAGTGCCAGAAATTTGAAAGGGAAAACCGAAATTGAGCAATAAAATATGCACTTCAAGCTATGAGAAATGTTTATGGCATCTTTATCAACATTCGTACTTCCAAATCGTAACCAGAAGATATGAAAATATCGCCTACTTACATTAGCACAAAAGCATGCCCAATACGACCGAGTATTTCCTCCCAAGTTTATTTTAATCCACCATTCCAGTTAAGCCTACAATGGTTAACTCATAAATCGGGAATAATTCGTCAAAAATTTTTCCTTTCCCTTTGTACCAAAGACAGTTCGCAGAAAAAAAAGTGGCAGAGAATGTTCGGGCGGGTTAGAAAGAAGTGCTAACGGAGTTATAATCAACACCGGATATGATTAAGTAAGCAGCCAGAAAAATACGTGTGACCTGTAATCAGTCTTCTTCACTTTCTACTTTCTTCTTGATTTCTTCCAAGAAATTATCGAAAACCTTTTGATTGCTTTCAAACTGCGCCAACTAAAAGTAACGAATTAGCATACAGTTGCAATGATGCGCTAGGAGTATGGGATTTTAAAGAACTTTCAAATAAAGACAGCATACATCAACCAACCATATCATCAAAACTACAGGATTCGTCCGCAAAATAGGCAACACAAAGCAAACTCTCAAGCAACGTCACTGCATCTTAGGAGACTGCAAATCAGTATGCAAAAAAAAGTTCCGTTTACGGCGTCAACTTTTAACCTGTTCGATCAAACCATCAGTCGGTTAGGCTTCGGCTGTTTTAACCTTGAATCCCTATACGTTTGCCAGTTAATATGTTGTAGCCTGTTTTTGAGATACACATCCAAACATGCTTCGGCAATATTTGACGATTGTTATTTCTAGATCTCAATGGAATCGGTAGAAAATATTTTACAAAATACGAAAAAAAGCAGGCTTTATCCCCTTTCTCCTTCTCCTTCAATTTTCAAAAGATTTACCAGTTCGGGAATGACAGATGTGCTGTCAATCTGAAATGAAAGATGAGTTGGGGCCGACCTACACTGCTTCATGAATTCGCCTAAACCATCTGCCAAACTTTCACTACTTCCAAATGCCACCTGAAACAGAATTGCTTATGAGACTAATATGATGTAACGAGATTTTATTGTGTATAGGAACTAGCTGGAAAAGAATTAGACCCCAGGCTGATGAATATAGTAGGAAATCAAACGATAATCTTGAATGCAAGAAAAATATAAACCTCGACATAGTATCCTATTCCCTCAAACAAAACTGCATTAGCCTTTCCCTCCTCTTACACTCATATAACCCTTTGTTACGATGTCAAACCAAACTCACTATACCAATCTCAACAAATTTTGGAATACCTTGACATAACTACCGTCGCTACTTGTCAAATCATCATCGTCATCGCTCTGCGTTTCCGTTTCTTCAGCAGAAGAATCATCTTCCTGTTTTCCACTTGCTCCATTATTTATTAAACTTACTCCAGAGGGAACAGTGGCACACTGATGCATATGGTTAGGTACACTTGTCGCAGAACACGTCGAACCAGAAGCCACGAGAGTAGGCGATGGTGATGGAGGATGTACTAAAATGATTTATGTCACTAATAAAACTGTTAAATTAAATAAACGCATAACTGTGAAGAATGCATGTGAACTACAATATTATACAAAATTGATACGTCTTAAAAATTTTCTGAATGCGACCATTTCCCATAATTTCCACTGAATTTAGTTTTCGCTAATCCAATGTACCGAAAAAGAATTTACCAGGGGAAGAAGTTGGGGTTATCTTGTCACTACCTTCCAGTGATCCTAGAAATCCTTCACCTGGAATCGAATCACTTGTAGCCGTAGTAAGCAAAGTTGAAAATGGAAATGAATGAGTCCTTGATCGGTTTTTCTAGAACAAAAAGTTATCCAATTCCGCCGGAAAAGAATTGTAATCAATTCGTCAAACTTTACTCAGCTTTTTACAAAGTGTTAACAATATTAAATTAGCTAACGAGAATATTTACCGTATTAATTTATTTCTGACACCAATTTAATAATACTGCTTAGCTGGATTTGGTTGTCACAATACAATCACAGAAAGAACATACCACTGATGCCAATCGATGCGGCAAACTTGAGCTATATGTCTGATTACTGCTCCCGTCTAGGCCTAAAAGTAAACTGAATCGATAATTCATCACAAAACTCTATACAACCACCACAATCTCATGAACTATAAATCTCAAATTAAAAACTAGTGGGAGCTCTTTTACCAAGGACGGCTTCATCACTACATACATCACCACGGCAGCAAGCATCATCTGAAGAGGATCGCGAATGGCCCAAATGGAAATGCACACGCCGTGAAGGGGTTCCTAGCACGAGTTCATTTTCTTCCTGAAAAGCTCAAACTTATAAAAATAGGGAGTAGTATACAGAACTGTACACCATATTAAATCATAATTCGACATTTCAAATATTTTCAAACACTAGTTTTTTGATTCGTGGTTTCACTGAAATTTAACAAAAATTCTAAATTACCTATTTAGAGGGTCAGTACTAAAAATGCTGGTAAGGTTTGAAAAGGTCTAACCGGTTTAGTTTCATCACTGCGAACAGGAACAGGACCGAATGGTATCAACGTTGGGATATGTGTATTTATGCTGCACTGATGTTCATTGCTATCCACATTCTCCGATGCAGCCACGGTGCTTACATTCATTTCCTGTGTCGTTGTACTGAAACTTGCAAATTAAGCAACATTGAAATAATTTAGCAGGAACCCACTTAAATTATGATGTAGCCCGTAAATATCCGTGCAGAACCAAAAGGATACAAAAAACTGAAATGTCATTAAAAAATGAAATGTTTCATTAAAAAATGAAATGTCATTAAAAATTAAAGCAGTCTCCGACTATAGAACAAAAAATTTCTGACTGTAGCAACATAGCTAACATAAAAAGTGAAGAAGATCCTTAAGATCAAGCACTCTGAAAATTCCTCACACATAAAAGAATCACAACCGTAACTAACGTGTAATAATGTAGCATCTACAACCACGTCATAACAAGTTGCAATGGTAAAGACTACCATCTTAGTAGAATTTGATGGCTTACCGGTCAATTTCCATCTTTGTACGATAGAGCAGATCAACAGAAAATCCACCAAATGGAGATGTTACCAAACCGATACGAACCTTTTTTTGCTCTTCACCCAAATCCATTTCTGGTTCTTTTTCGTAAACCTTTAAGAACATTAAATGCTTAGTATATCTTATACGACGACAGTTTAGTTACAAGTCGACTATGTGAGCTTTTAAATTTTACAATAAACGATATATAAAACTGAACAAGTCTTACTCTGTACATAATAATGAAAGTGTCAGGGCCTTGTTTACGAACATAATAACGATAAGCTGGAGTCATTCGTGATGCTACAATTGCTGATTTCAAAAGTGTCCCTAACTGGTGGTATAGTTCGGTTCTTACGTTGACGTTTCCATCGAACAATTCCGATTCATATCGGACACACCTAGAAAGTGATAAATCTATACTGATACACTGACTATTACAATTTGACTTGTTCGAAACACTTAAATCCATTTCGTCGAAAACGAATTCTGAATTGAAACTTTTGTGCTAAATAAGTTTTAAAATCCAGCTTTGTCTCGTTTCTGAATAAACTCCATAAATCTTTTACATTGATATTTCCTTTTCTAGCCGATGAGGATAACACAAGTTATCTGGAAATAAGTGCAGAAAGAGACATACCAGGATTCCAAAGGTAGGACATCGCCATCAGCGGTGTGAAGCAGAAAATCCAAAGTGAAACAGTTGGCGTTCGGAGGATATCTACAAAAACAAAAGGAGAAGTAAAAGAAGTATCTACAAAAACAAAAGGAGAAGTAAAAGAAGCGTCGAATGGAATTTCGACAGACAGATGAGAAAGAATAAAAACACAGGAAAAATGTGCCAGTCCTGGAAAGGCTAACTTTGTGACGCTTGTACGTAACTGTGCTGCCACTTCACCTAGCTCATCAATTCGTATACTGAACCAATCCGTAGAATCCGGTAATACACTACATGACTGTACAATAAGCTGACCAAGACGTGACTGAACAAGTGCTTGAACCTAAAACAAATGTCTTTCCTTTGATATCCCGAGTTGCTTCAGGTTTTTCAGATTAATGTTAAAACATCTAGACATGATTGAGAGAACTTTACCACTTGATAATAAAGACTATTTACCAAACGTGTTGTGAAGAATTTGCCAAATTTAACGAATTCTTGATATGATTTCGAGCACGTCGCTGAATCAGTCATGCTAAAAGAAAAAGTTTTCCATCTTTTGTGGATATAAACGGCGTCAAATAATATCCGAAGCAATTTGAATCTGATATGAAACTATAGTTGGACGAACTATGTGTTCATGAGATACGAATCTTCCAGAAAATCAAGTACAGATGCATTAGAGGTTTAAAACTTTGCTTAATACAACAAATCTACAAACTGTTGATGACTTCAACTTACGGATATACCTCCCATGTATAGCACTCAAAAGTGAACAGGAAGAAAGAAGAGAAGGGACGTCATAGCATATTTTCCTCACTAAATGTTCGGTAGCCTGGAAGCTATTCAAGCCTCTCTAATGAACAGCAAGAAAATTGAAATGAGATGAATTCGGATCGAAAGAGCCATTAGCAAAATGAAAAACAAAAGAATAGGATGGACAAATTCGAAATGGAATTAAAATAACGATATTTGACTTTTAGCAAGATGAAATGAAACGAAACAATCCCTACATCAACTAGTTGAGTAAGGGAAAAATCTCCATTCAAATAAATAATAAGCGCAAAAACATCTAAACTTTGTCAAAGCCATCCTCATTTTCTCCCGAAATACGACCGAAATGGTGAAATACGAAAGCAAACTATTAGGCAAATTCAAAGTGTGAGGAAATATTCATAATGGTTGACATAAGTCTACTTTGGATAGGCAATACATCGATATACAGTTGTGTGTAAGAAAGCAGTAATGTAACCTTACCGCGCATACGAGATGTCCCACGCTCGAATGCCGTAGAGTTCGGTAAACCCAGTTAACCGAGGAATAGAACTAAAATTAGGAGAGAATTTAAAAATGATCGATTAACATCTCACAGATATCTTGCTCAATTTCGATATAATATCAAAATGCATGATTTACACTTCCAAACCTAAAAAAATTGAAAGTGGTATGAAAGAGCTTGCAACTGGACCAGAAGCTGAAGTCTATTCCATCCGCCAAGTCTCTGAACCATCATTCCTAACAGCAGTCCAATATTTCCCAGAACCTGTATAGGTCTCGCTACTCCGCATTACCACACGTGTATTGCGCTCGTCCGAATTTTACAGTGCTGAAAGAAGCGAATTTTCACAAGCGTCCAGGTTCCTCCGTGCAATTTTAGCGTTTGGGGATCTGATGTACGTGAAGACGGCTTGGATGATTACTCTCGTTTTTATTCTTATTTAACTGTAAGGAGAGATACGGACGATTATTATGCTTTAATATATGTCACAGTGATTGTAAATGTCACAGTCAAGTTGTACGTTGGTCAGAAGGTCTATGATTGAATTTCACTAAATTTAGTTTTAGTTTTGTGAGATGATTTCAGAAACCGAAGAAGAGTGATAAGAACGAAGGAAATGTTACAACTTGGCCTTCTTGCCGCTGGCCATCTCCCTATTTTCTTTGCAATGTTCTTTACATTAATGCTAAGTAAGTTTCAGGATTTCTCCTTATTTTTGCTTTACATTTTCACACTTCCAGATTTTTCTGTTGTTTCTTGATATTGTGAATTTGAATGGTTGTAGGCACATCGTATGTGCTGGCAGTATGGCAAGGTGATGTAGATCCGGTTTTTCCGTACATTTCATCTTCTGGAGATCGTCGTCCAGAATCGTGTATCTTCAGTATGATGCTCAATTTATGCTCGTTTCTGCTAATGCTTATCATTTATTTAAGGTGCTTAATTTTTAGGTCGATTTGATTTTAGGATGGTTTTTGAAATAAATATGGTTGAAACTGAGGAGTAATTGGTGGACTTGAACTTCGGGATGGCTTCAAACTTTCGTGTAATTTATTAGGACAAGTATGTTGGGGAGTTTTAATTCTGTGTACAAATGAAAACGTGTGAAGTTTATTTGAGATTAAAAATGGACGTGTACGAAGTGGGGGTGATGGCCAAGTAATTATGGGATGATAAAATAAATCAGTAGGGGAGCGAAGGCAACTTCTGTATGTATCGAAAAGATTCTATCATGGACTGAATATTGATACCTAAATTTATAGCTTACAAAATTATGAAAACGAGTATGGTATTGACATTGCTAGAGACTTCATCTCAGAATGAAAGTGGAATGCTTGAATCGCAAAAATTTTATTATATATTTTGGTCACATCTTCGTGGTAGAAAATATGAAATTTACCATTTTAAATTTAAAATGGTAAAAATTTACCATTTTCGTGGTAAAAATATGTGGCAAATCTTCGTAGGTACTCGTTAGTAGTTGAACTCAACCGGGACTCAGACCATCGCCTGAAACGCTTGAATATTTTTACACTCGCTATCGGTATGATTGGTGGAATTGGGATGTTTGTTGTCGCCAACTTTCAGGTATGTTTAACGAAGTTTAGTCGTAACATATTGAAGTTATCATCTGCCGAGGTTTTATTTGTTTATTTTTTATATTTAATTAAAAGAAAAAACACTGATGTGACTTTTGCAAATTTTCTTCATCTTCATCTTCCCCTCCTCTCTCTCTCTCTGATAATAGGTGAATTAAAATTGACTTCCATGAGCGGTCAGATTATATGACGAATTATATTGTATTGAGATATTCAGCTTACTTCATTATTAAATATTTGGTTACATTAATTCCCAGATATTGAAGGATTTTCCCTGTGTCTGTCAGATAGATGACAGTAACTACCTCAAAGAAATGGAATTTAGTAAGTCAAGACAGTCTAAATTCTAGTTGTAAGTCAAATCAATCAAGAAACAATACTGGACATAAAGTGGTCTTGTGGTAACATTATGGCTTATTTCAGGGTTTAACTAGGATGAATTGGATTAAAATCTAAACACAATAACTAAAGTAGAGTTTCATTACAAAGCTTTTTCTAGGAATCAGCTGTTATTATTGTACATTTAATTGGAGCATTTCTATGTTTCGGGTGCGGATGTTTTTATATGCTTTTGCAATTTTGTCTTACCGTTTACATGTGTCCATTATACAACAGCCGTCGAATTGGTTTCATCCGTGGTGCAGTGGCATTATTTGCCCTGCTGTGCTTTATCACAGGTTGTCACTTTCAATTTTAAAAAAAATTTCCGACTTCAACATTATTTACCGAACTAAAGCACTTGGAATGAATGATTGCTTACTTTCGTTTAAAGATTGGCATAGTAATTGTTATCCGTTCAGCAGCTTCATATATAACGTTGAAATTGAGGACCTTTTCCAAAAGTGGCGCCACATTTCCATTTAATGATGGGAAATGAAAGGAAGAAAAAAAAGAGGGGGGGGGGGGCTAGTAATAAATAATAAGGGCTAGTAATAATAATGAAGGGACTCAACAAAATTGTAGTTATCCCAACAGAGTTATATTTTTTAGTTGTTTCATTTGGTGTAGCTGCATCAAATGAATTTCACAAGCATTATCCTGATCAGCCTACACCGCGGCCTTGGTCCAGAAAAACAAAGCAACCCGTAAGATTTCTTTCATTCCATTTTTTCTTCAGGATAGGACATTTCCAAAGATTTTCTATTTTGTTACTAAAACTGATTTACCACTGCGCCTAGATATTAAAATTTTGACGGCTAATAATATTGCGGGACGATGTGTTGTATTGCTGAGCGCTTTGGACAAGTCAAAAAAGTGATGTTTCATGTTCTGCTAAATCTAGGCCGTCAAAAATTCCATTGGTTAAGATGGCGATTTTAGCGGAAAGATCTGATGGCTGTCATCAGAAGCCTAGCAGTCCATTAAACAGCATTTTGTGGCATAGAGTTGAGCAATCGCTCATTCATCAGAATTAGACATGTTGATTTATGATCTGTGGGTACAAATTCTTTGCGTTTACAGTTAAAAATGTCAAGTAGTTATAAGGGAAATGATCTTCTTAGGTATTCTTTTAGTTTATTTTCAGGGTTACAATCTTCACTGCATTTCCGCTATTGCTGAATGGTGTTTAGCAATATGCAACGTGTTATTTATATTGAGGTATACTTGCAACACTTTCAGATCAAACTTTTTCCTAGTTTTAAAAGTTCTGTATCTCACTGTGCTTTAGTTTAGATCGATTTGATAAAATCTTCACAGAAAGACAATGGAAAACGTTTATTTTTGTCGAAGTATTTTAGCTATTTGGTGGGATAGAAAAAGTAATTTTGATACTAACATCATTTTTCCTCTTCTCTGATATCATAGCATATTTCATTCGATTGTTTACATGGTAAACTTTTTCTTTTGTTCGGGGAATATTCAAAAGCACTTTCATTTTTATTTCAGACCCCAACATTTCGCAGTTTCTTCATCTCATGAATTTTATATGGATAGTAATCATGTATCAGTGCCGTTACAGTTCAGATTTAAGAAATCATACTTTTCAGAATCAGATTTTCTTTTCTTTCAAGGATTATAGATTCCATACCAACTTTGTTGATTGTAAGAGATTGCGATAATGAATTTACTTTACAGCTTCTCTCGCGATTTTGAGAAACTTCGTGTTGAATTGAATGTGCAACCGCTAGTTTCGCACTTGGATCACAGTCCGCTGTGGCGCTCCGCTACCGATCTTAGTTCACCATATTGATGGTGAAACGTATACTTGTAATTGCTTGTAAAAATCTAAAATATGTATATTTGTAAATCATCATTGCTTGAGAGATTGTTTTGATTTGTTGGGAGAATTGATTTGTTGATTGGCGTTGTTACTTCCTTCAGGAGATTCATCTTTGCCCATAAATTACATTCTTTTAGGATACTTGCTAAAATAACTGAGTGAACAACTCTAATCACTATATAATCGAAATTCAGCTGATTTATAACAATATACTTCAAATTAATTCTCTCAGTTAATTGCTTTAGGACAACAGTTCCCTTAAGTTTTAAGGCATTTGCCGGATACATTTCCACAGATTTGTATTCGAACTCTTACATGACATTATTATGACTTTGATAGCAACTTATCATCACAACATTTGGCGTGTGGTTAGAAATCATCGGAATTTCGGGTGTAAGGCAGTGGGAAGCTTCTGACTTTGTTTTACTTTGTTCGATGTTTTTTTTAAATGTTTATCCTGAGATCATTTTTCTATTAAGATTACATTTAACATTCAAGGGGCCGAAATTACTTCAGTTTAGAAACTGTTTATTTCAGGAAACATTTTACGTACTGTTTTTCATCCTAAAATTGTCAATAGTCCAGCAATTTCAATATCATGTCGCTTGTTACATGTAAAGAAGAATGAAATGTTTATTGTTTTTAAATTCATATATTGTTTATAGTTTTTTAATTCATATATTTCTGAATTCACCTGTATTAGTCTTTAGTTTCATCGA